ATATAATGAGAGAAAGAGAGCAAACAAACTGTGAAAAACATTTTAACTCAATCTCAAAATGTTCTCCACTGAACAGTTTGATATATGTTTGTCAAATGAAGATTAGGGCGAAGGAAAACTATGAAATCTTCAAATGTCTTTAGAATTGTTCTATACTCTGCCCCCCGAGTCTCGTGAGTCTTTAAGAATAGGTTCAAGTAGATTTGCACAAAAAGAAAGAACACAACATTTCCTTTAATACAAGAAAAAAATGCATAACTGGAATGAATTTTGTAATAAATAGTATGATTCGCACATCGACACAAACCATTTTCATTCGGAATAAGAAAAGTTCATAAATAGTATGATATTGAGAATATGTTTCTTTTGTTTCGAAATGTTATAAACCATGAAAAATTACTATTTCTCTGAGTCCAGTAGTTACTTCCTTTTTGAAAGAAATCGTAGAAAAAGTTATAAAGAGGAAAGTATTCAAGTTTGCGGACTAAACTTTTGTACGTCACTGTTGGGATCATGTGCTTAAAACACTTAAAACATACCGGTGCACATACCATACAACTGCTAGCTTACTGTGGTGGACAAAACTTTCGCATACTTTCTAAACTCACAGAGAATAAAGGTTCCAGTTGCAACACTATTCTGTACTCGATCGAATGGCTCAAAGGCTAATGCTTCAGTCAATGTATAGCATTTGATAATGATCGCTAATCTCAAAAGGAGATTTCAATCGCGAATACCGTAATTTATCCCCGAACATTGGAAAGCTGAATCTGAATAAGCATAATGTAGGTGAAGTATTGCCTTACAAGGTTTTATGTTAAAATGAAAGAACTTATTACTACAGCCATTTAAGGTAATGCAGAGTGTAATAGTTTTCTAGTAAGGTACTCTCTCTAAGTAATACATATTTTTTAAATTTATCTATATTTTTGCTCAACACTGTTTTAGGCAATTGCAAAAAAAATCAAACTGACTGACATGACGGGAATATCTGCCATTAAAAAAAAAATTAATACATATTTATACCATATAATACAGATTTAAACTTAATAAATATTATATGTTCAAACAAACTTAACTACATACTTAGAACTATATACAAACTTATTGTATATAATATAATCTAGTATTATATATCAATTGATTTTTTTTTTTTGCAAAAACGTCAGAATGAAAAAAAGTATTTATTTGAAGAAACAAATATCATTGTTTCATACAAGTTACCGGTTGTTGGTGGTTTTAGAAGATTCAAACGAACTACAAACCAAAAATATCGAAAAAAAAAGAAACGATCAACTGATCTCGATTCCTTCTTTGTCATTGAATATTTTTTTATTCTGTGGCCGCCACTACCATCAATATTACACATAATCAATAATCAGGTATTTATTTTTTTGAAAATTTATTTGCAACAATGTTTCAAAGTGTTTTGGTTTTTGCGTATCGAAAAGAGGGTGTGATTTTAGTGTATAAATAAGTGATATTTATTACTTGTTATTGGTAATATATTTAAGTTATATGAAGGTAATAACAGTGTCAGTGGTTAAACGTGATCAAACACTTGAAACCCATAATCTGAATCATACGAAGAAAAATGTGTTTTAATTAATTTAAAATATAGTATGTGCAGCTGTCAAACAGTGCAGCGGTGTTGTAGTGAGGCAGTGTTAATCTGAAACTCCTTGAAATTTTCAAATTGTTATATTTTAGAATTTTTCTTTAATGAAGTTCATTAATTTTCTTTTCTGAAATTAATGTATTTTTTTAAATCTAAAAGTAACAGGTTTAAGTTAAGGGAATTTTTTGAACAAATAAGAATATATGGATTTGGTTGTTATATAAAGTGTCAGAACAAGAATCTGATCTTAGCCCCTGAGGAATCTATTATGGAACTAGATTTTATTTTTTTCGAATCTTTTAGTAAAAAGTGTTATTATTTATTAAATCGAAGTTTTAAGTGAACAAATTTATATTTTTAATGAAAAATATTTTTTTGAAAAAATTTTAATTTTTAGTGAAACTTTGAACGTTTTTAGTGAAACTTTGGACGTTTTTAGTGTAAATGTTAATTTTTAGATTTTTAGAGAAAATTTTGATTTTTTTGTGAAAAATTTGGAATTTTTTCGAAAATTTAATTTTTGGTAAAAATTTCAAAATTTAGTGAAAATTTGATTTTTTTTTAAATTTTGGAATTTTTGTGAAAATTTTAATTTTTAATGAAAATTTGGTATTTTTTGTGAAAATTTTCATTTTTAATGAAAATTTAAATTTTTAATAAAAATTTACATTTTTACTGAAAATTTATATTTTTTATGAAAATATCAAAATTTGAATTTTTAGTGAAAATTAGGATTTTTAGTAAAAATTATATTATATTTTTAGTGAAAATTTTTAATTTTAGCAAAAAAATTGGATTTTTAAGTAATATTTATTTTTGTAAAAATCTAGTAAAAAAATCGAATAGTCGTATTTAAGAATAAACTTTTTTATTGAAATCGGTGAACGATTTCTCACAGTCCTGATATATATGATCGTCTGAAATGAAATAAAACAAAGAATATTGAAAAAAGACAGAATATTCAGAGATAGAGAGAGTGAGAGTGAAAGATGTGAAAAGGGTATTTTTACCTCCAAAGAAATGAAGAAGAAACGAACATAGAAGGGAATTCTTTATGGTATTTTACCTGCCAATCTAGTAACTGTTTCTAGCTCCATATCGTCCTTACACAACCTGCAATAACCGACCCAATTTCCTACAAAGGCTCAAATTACGCAATGACCGTTTATTACTCCTACTACAGCCTCTAGTCCAATACTAAAAGTACTCTGGTTGCTTTTGTATTTAATTTTGGTCATAATGCCTTAAAAACCCTGCAATTCATCCTATTGTGACAGAATCGGTTTAGTAGAGTCTTTGAGATTAGTGATTAGTCTATAGAAGTGACAGATAGGAAATTTTACTGACCTATCTCTATTGTTAAGATCCAGTATAAATGCCTAGAAGTCATACTCTAAAAATTTGTGAAAATCAAAGCACATTTGACTCTAGACCCCATATAAGGTCTAACGTTTAAAGTTGTCTTATTTATATGTTTAGTAACGGCATTATAGACCAGTTTTTGAAAACGATACAATATCAAACATATCCGAGCGACAGGCCGTTTATTACTCCTACTACAGTCCTTATACTCTTCTAGTCCAATCCCAAAAGTACTCTGCTTTTTTGTTGCTTTTGTATTTAATCTCGGTCATAATGCCTTAAAAACCCTGTAATTCATGCTATTGTGTCAGCATCGGTTTAGTAGTCTTTTTGATTAGTGATTAGTCTATAGTAGTGACAAATAGGTGATTTTACTGACCTAAGTATCTCTACATGGGGGAGAGAAGAAGAAGGTACATCTGGGCCACAAGGCTCGAGCCTGTTCTGCGCTCTTTTCCCTAAAAAATATTTGTAAAAGGATATATGAAAGGAATTACCTATCGTCCAATGTTTAGAAACTCGGTATTCTAGACATTTCAATCTGAGTTCTTAAGAAACTCTGAACATCTGGACATTGCTCCCAAGATCATATTTGGATCATATTTCTACATACCTCTTAAATATTTATTAACAAAATTAAATAATGATTATTTCTTTATCAAAATTTATATACTTTATAACCAAATTATAAACCATTTAAACAATTTTGCGTACTAAATCAAAACTATATCGGCTAAATAACACACAATTTCGGTAATAATCATAATAAATCTTAATTACACTTCGTTTAAACTTCGTTTAAAATAAAACGATGGAAAATTATGAAACAAATTAAAAATTTATAGCGAGAGTATTAAGGTTCTAACGGCAAGACGTTAAACGATTGAATTTAATGTTTAAACAGTAAAAGAAAACTTTTATTAAAATTCTAGTAACTTATTGAGATGGTAAAGAAGTTGTGAAAATGTTAAATTACAACTAAAAGTTGTAGGTTTACAAAACCGATTTATAGATATAGATATAAGTGCAGCAAAGGGTCTTTTTTTCTGGGTTTCATTCTTTTACGGTGACATGCTGCTGCTCCTAATGGTTACACTGAAAACCCCTAAGAAACCAGAGATAAAAGAGAATAATGAGTAAAATAATCACTTGAACACACACTCAAACTTACCACTGCTACATTGAGTGCAGTGAGAATTTAATGCTCACTCAATATTTACAAAACGATCACACTCTCACAGACAGCATACTCACATTAAGGGGAGAGCATTAAAGATCGATCGATCGTCAACAGTCTATAAAATGCTTGAATTAAACGAATAGTGATCAGTTCTGTTTCAGTCCCGACTGGCAAAACATCTCTAAATAGAAAAAATTCTAAACGGTTTCTTGAAATAAATAGCTTTTGATCGCTTAACATATAATACCTCGTATTCCAAAATAATTTAAAAAAAACCAACAATTATAAATGAAAATTTAGCATTTAAAACGTGCATGATAAAATCTAGATCGTTAACAAAAAAAAAAAAGTTGATGAATAAAAAACAAAGAGAAAGAACAACAATTAAAAGAAAAATTTTCTCTACTAAAATATACTGTATAATTTGTTTTTATACAGAATAAAAATTGTTAATAAAAAACTTTAACTGTAATGTCTATTAACTGGTTTAAAGAACCCAATTTGTGTCAAAGTGAGACTAAAATAAATTTAAAAAATCTACAACAATTTTTAAAACAAAATAAACTGAAAATGTTTTAAACTTGAAAACTAAAACAAAATTTTTGGAATTTTGAAAACTTATTGTATTAAAAAAAAAAACAAAACAATTTAATAAAAATTTGTAAATAAAACTTTACAAAATTTATAATAAAAGTTAAAAAAGAAAAAAGTTTTTAACTAAAATTTTTTTTCAAAAAACAAAAAAACACATTCCAAAACTAAAAAGTAACAAAAAATTGTTATTGCGTTCAATTAGCAGAAAGTGTTTAATAAAATTTAAAAATCATTGATATTTTAAGCAGACGCCTAAAGTAAAATCTTTCAAAATTCCGCCCTCATTGAAAAGAAACTTTTCCAAAACGGAGACCTTTAGAGGACCTATGTCAGTGCTAAACTATTTATTATTAATCTTTAATCAAAATAACGCACCCACAAGGACTCATCATAATTTAGAACTACTGAACTCTATAACGTAACCCTGCGAGTGAAAGTTTTTACTATTGAAAAAAAACAACAATCAATCAAATAACAACTATAACATACAATTTACCATAAAAAAAAATTTTTTTTTGAGCTAAAACAACAAATAACTCCTTCAAGCTGCTGCTGCTAAGAATTACCCCTTTACTTTTAACTATAACTTATAAAGGGAATTGTAAACAATTAAAAATTGTTCAACAACGAAAACGCAAAAAGAAAAGAAGAAAGAAATTCTTCTCTATTTCATAAAAATTCCCCCAAAACCTAAGAAAAGTCCAAAAAGAAAATCTTTTTTAAAAAACACAAATTCTTAAACGAAACGTCAAAAAAAAAGCTACTCAAAATTTCATTAGAGAGCCTAAGCAGTGTTAAAAAAAACATAGAATTACGAAATAGAGTGTTTAAACTTCGTAAAAGACAGTAATTAAACAAAAAAAACCTAGAAGTTTGTTAATTTATAAAGAAAAAAAAACCCAAATTTAAATTTTTTTTTAAACAAAGTTTAAAAATAATTTACAACCATTCATAATCTACGTAGAAAACGCCGAAGAAAGAAAATTAAAGTAAGTTTTATTTTTTATTAATTATTTTTTACTTATCAAATTGTTTTCTAAAAGCCGGCTATTCAAAGCTATGCATTCTTTTTGTTTAACGACTTTTATGTATTTAAGTTATTATCTTATGCTAATAGTTTTGTTGTTGTTATTTTTATGTTATTTCACAATTTAATGAAAATTTTAAATATTTTTTTTTCTATTTTTATTTATTTTGAAATTTTTGCTGTTATAATAAATTATAGCACGTGAGTTTTTTTTATACCCTACATCACTATAGTGGGGAGGGTATTATGCATTTGTGCTGATGTTTGTAACACCCAAAAATATTGGTCTTACACCTCCTCCTTAAAGTATATCAATCGGCTCAAAATCACTTTCTGAGTCGATTTAGCAAATCCGTCTGTCCATCTGTCCGTCCGTCCGTCTTTCTGTCTGTCTGTCCGTCCTTCTTTCCATCCGTCTGTCTGTCCGTCCGTCCGTCTGTCTATCTGTCTGTCTTTCTGTCTGTCCGTCTGTGTGTCCATTTATCACTTCAAAAATCGGCAAAACTTAGTTTTATATAAATTTTAATGATACTGCTGATACAGATTTTAGTAATGATCGAGCCTCCTTTCGACCCTATCCCATCCCAGACCCTTTCAGAAAATGACTTGATGGTCAAAATTCACTTATAAACACTAATGTCACGATGATATTCTGAGTCGATTTCCGTCTGTGTGTCCATGTAAACCTTGTGCGCACTCTACAGATCGCAATTTTCAAGATAAGATCGGTGCATTATTTCTTATAGCCCCCATAAAACCGTACCCTCTCGAATAGGGCTTCTGAGCTCATAAATATGTTAAATGTTCTTGTATCATTTCAAAAATCTGCAAAACTTAGTTTTATATAAGTCATAGTGATACTGCTGATGATCGGGCCTCATTTGAACCTATACCCCATACAAAGTCCACTTCAGAAAATGACTTGATGGTCAAAAATCACTTATAAACACTAATGTCACGTTGATATTTTGCATAAATAACTGATGTAGATGTAAATTCTTCCAACAAAATTTATAAGGATAGGACCATATTAACCCCCTCTGTCTACATATAACCTCTCTTTTAGAAAATCTCTTTTTTTGACAACCAATTGTTAAAAAATTCCTGAGTTAAAGAAAAAATTAAAAAAATAATCAAAATTTGTAACTTAATCTCTGGTGTAGGGTATCATATGGTCGGTCATGTCCTACTATAAATTCTTACTTGTTTTTTTGCTTGTTGTCTCTTTTTAAAACACACAAACTTTCCATTAAAAATATATGGTTATTTTTATATTAGAAAATTTTATTTTTAAATGTGTGAAATATATTTTTTTTTAAAGAAATTGTTATTGGTTTTATTAGTTTGCTTTATTAGAATAGTAAATATTTTGAAAATAACTTTTAAATTAATAATAATTTTAGATTTCCAAGAATATGTTTCCAAAAAAAATGGAACCACCGATCTTATATAGATCTCAAATTTGTATTCAAGCACATTAGATCAAGTTTAGTTTTGTCACCGACGAGATCTTAATTATTAAGATTTTTACTTTTAAACGTTTTCCAACTAAAGGCTTCTTTCTGTAAGTGTAAGTTAAAAAAGTCTTGTTATATACATTTTAAATCAAATTAAAACAAATTTAGTTTTAAAATTCAAAACCATTTTACACAGTGTTCCTTAAAAACTTTGCCAGTTTTAACTCGTTTTTTGTTGTAAATGTTTGTCATAGATATTCTAATAAAAAAAAGTCAACATTTCCAATTAAAGTGCAGAAAAAGGGCAACATTTTAAACTCAGATCCTTCAAATTATAAAATTTTCTCTTGCAACTTTGACAGATTTTGTCTTAAAACACGTTTTTGTTTAATTTTTTTTTTAAGTAAAAATATAGTATAATAACTAATACTATAAAAAGGCAACATTTTTAATACGTAATAAAAATGAAGGCAAAAATTCAACATTTTTTTGAGAAAATAACATTTTATTCTTTGTACAAAAGAATAGAAAAATGGCAAAAAACTAAAAAAACCTACATTTTTGTAAAGAAAAAGATGTGAAATATTCTTCAAATCCAAAGAAAAGAACACAAAAAGGGGCAAAATGGCAACATTTTTGTCAGAAAACGAAAACACGTTTCTTTGGGCTAGAAAAACTTACAACAAATCTGAAAAGTCTTTAGAGTGAAATCAATTTGTAAAAAAGTACAGAATTTTGCCTCCTTATCGAAAAGAACAGCACTATATAAAGGACGGATAAGTTTAGAAGCTGAAAATTCAAACTTTTTGGGTGGAAATTTTTCATTTAAGAAGTAAAATCAAATCTAAAAGTAGCTTTAGTCAGTTTTGTTCTATAACATAAAAAGGGCAAAAAATCGGAACACCTTGCATTGCAAAATTTGCATTTAATTGTGTAGAATTTGAAATTAAGTCGTGTGTATTCAATTAGAACTGAAATTAAGAGTTTTGCTTCTTTTAGTAAAACAAATAATAAGGCATAGGGCAATATTAAGGTCAGAAATGTAAACCTATTCGGTTGCAATTTTTCAAATAATTTGTACCGAATTTTGTTGATATAGTTAATATTGAATAGGTTAGTTTTACGCAAGAGATCCCTGCATATGAAGATTATCAGAAAAGAAGGAAAGCGATAGGGATAACAAAAGAACAGAAAAGTGTGAGTAGCAGAAAGTTCAGAGAGAAAAGTATGACGACCCTAGTGTTTGCTAGCATATAGCTTCCAGATCCGGGCAATTGCCTAGAAGTTGAGTTATATTTTATTTTTCGCTTTGCAGCTTAATGTAATAACTTATCTATGAAGACCTAGATAATAGACTGTATTTAATGCATTCTAAGAAGGATAAAAGGTACTAGCGTAGAGACTTCATACGGTCCCTAATGACTGATATATGAAAACATCAAAGAATTGATCTATGTTTGGTGATGACCCTAGTGTTTGGTAGCATATATCTGCCAGGGCCGGGCAATTGTCTAGAATATGAGTTTAAGCTTTCATTTTAATTTGAAGAACTTCTACACTGTGATAACTTCCAACCTGTGATAACTGATCTATGAAGTCCTAGATAATAGGCTGATTTTTATGCATTTGCAAGATTCTAGCGATCGAACATCGATCTTGAGCCTTCATAAGGTTCTTAATGACTGACCTTAAAGAATTGTTCGATCGAATATCTCATCATCTTGTTCAGAGACTCGATGTATTCGGGTTTAATATAGAGGGAAAACCCTATTTGAAAGCATAAGGGTTAATAAGGCTAAATTTAAAAAAAAAATTGAGTTAACATTTTTTGTCATAATAACATGAAGTAAAAAGTTTAAAATATAAATAGGTTTTTAACCGGTATTTACCAGATATTTGGGAAAATACGGGTTAAATATACCTAAACATATGTACTTAAGTGACAAAAAGTTCTAACTGATATAATCGATAGGTTTTAACAGTTTGATAAAGTGATAAGACTAAGAAAATTAGCAAAAATTTCAGAAAGTAGACTTAGTATAGTTCAAAATAGTTTCAATGGGGTTTTAACCGGTATTTACCAGATGTATGGCTAAAAACAGGTTAAATATAGAGGGTTAGACCTTAATGGAAGTGACAAAGTAGTTCTCTATAGTTTATAATAGTGTGATAAAGAAAAATAGCAACAATTTCCGAAAGTATACTTAGAGGAGTTAAATATGTTACCATTATAAGTGACTCACCACATATTGCCAAGCCCCTAATAGGAATAAAAAAAAGAATCAGCTATTTATAGACTAAGATTTGTTCTTTCTATACTTTTAAACAAACTATCACCAAGTGATAAATTTCATTTAATTGGCTGATGTGCAACAATGTCTCTACTTAACGCATTTTTCAAACTCTAAACTGACACAATCAAACCAAACGTTACATGAATTTTTTTATTTTAAAATCAGACATATAATAGTTTATATATATACATATGTGAACAACTAAATATAGAAAACCAGACGTGTGATTTTCAATACGATTTTTTATTAGCTATATATTTTTTTTGTTGGTTTGGTTGGTTTAGCTGATTTGACGACAACATATTTAGGTGTTGAGTTAAGTCTGCCGGTTGTCGGTTCAATTTTTCTGAATGACTAAGTGTATGGTGGCAGTCTGACGACGCTGATGCTGTCTCTGTCAAGGGAATTAAGTAAACGACGACGACGACAATGATGTTTTAAAAATACGTAGGAAAAAAAAAGTCTTGAAAAAAAAGTATTATAAGAATGTGTTCAGATTAGATACATGTACGGGGCGAATGTTTAAGAATTTCATGAATGAAAGCATGTTTCCTCTTTAGTTGATAGTAAAAATACGAAAAATATACATATAGAACTGATAATATTTATTAAGTGAGACCCCCCTTTAGCAAATATATAACATATATACAAACTTAGTTAGGGTGTAGACTTTAGGCCAAAACTTTTATGTTAGACAAACGATGAGAATTTTGCTTAAATGTTTGTATAAGTATGAGTGAATGAGCGTACGATCTATTTCTGAAATTATGTTGATTAATTTCCTACAACCAACAGCTACTACTTACTCTTTGTCGGTATAATTATTTGTTGGTTGTATGTCTGTCTGTCTGTCTGTCTGTCTGTTGTATCTATGATGTTGTGAGATTAGAGGTTTTATCATATTTGATTGCATGTGTAGTGTCTGTGCTAAAGATCTTGTAGGAAATTTATTTTTGTTAGCTGTGGTGTTAATTTATGATCTTGTTAAGTTGTCATTTCATTCTATATTAATGATCGTACTTGTTCTTTTTCTTTTTTTTTTTGAACACTTTATACTAAGGACAAGTGTTTCTAAGGAAATTGTCATGAAATTGCGATTTAGTTTAGAAATTGAAAAGAAGCAAAAAAAAAAAACTTATTTAAAGACTTAATGATTTATTCCCTAAAATTTTAAAACAAATTTCCTTTTATTTTTTGTTTCGATTTTTTTTTTCTTCTCGAAATTTTTGTTGCCAAGAACCTAACACACGTAATCTTGGTTGTCGTAGCTATTGAATTCAAACACCCAATGGGAATCTTTTAGCTTAATACATATAGTTTTTTTTTCTTTAACATGTTCCGTTTCTTTTCTTCTTTTTTTTTTTGCAATCGAAAAAGCAAAATATAATTTTAAAAATCATTTTACCAGCAGAAGCTGTTAAAATAGGAATGTCACGTAGTCGTAGTCGTTTTGATAAGTTTCTAGGAGGTATGTTGGCCAATAAATAAAAAAAAAATTAATATTTTAAAACATCCATACATAATATAATTTATGTTTATGATAAGCTTTATATTAATGAATGAATGCGTGTGTTATCAACATCCTAGTAATTAATTAAAAACTCATATCAACTAATTGGTTCAATGACCCGATATTTATATTCTAGAATAATTTTTAAAATTTAACTAATAATTTTTCTTTTTTTTTTTTTTTTTTCTTTTGATTTGCAGAAAATGAACTTACATCTTTTATTACTGGCCCTGCTGGTGTTCATCAGTAGTTATGGTTCTGAGGCCAGAGCCATTGATGATGTTGACAATTCCATAGAGTCGGGTGCTAGTGATCAATCAACGGCCTCGAGCTCTTCATCCGCTTCGCTACAACCTCGCACCCGTTTTGGTCAGGATTGGATTAAATTCACTAAAACTCCTCCCGTTAAGATTTTACAAAGTTTGGGTTCTCCCGTTGAGATTGCTTGCGAAGTAATGGGCTCTCAAATACCCACCATTCAGTGGGTTGTCGGTCATATTCCTTTGTCAGAGGTATGTTGAGACAAACTTTTTTTATAGAAATATTAAAGCAGGACTATAGACAGGTCTACAGTCAAGTCTATAGACAGGTTTATAGTCCATAGACAGGCCTACAGTCAAGATTATAGACTGATCTATAGTAAAGACTATAAACTGATATATAGTCAAGACTATAGACTGATCTATAATCAAGACGATTGACTAATCTATAGACTGATCTATAGTCAAGACTATAGACTGATCTATAGTCAAGACTATAGACTGATCTATAGTCAAGACTATAGACTGATCTATAGTCAAGACTATAGACTGATCTATAGTCAAGACTATAGACTGATCTATAGTCAAGACTATAGACAGATCTATAGTTAAGACTATAGACTGATCTATAGTCAAGACTATACACTGATCTATAGTCATGACTACAGACTGATCTATAGTCAAGACTATAAACTGAACTATAGTTAAGACTATAGATTGATCTATAGTCAAGACTATAGACTGATCTATGGTCAAGACTATAGACTGATCTATAGTTAAGACTATAGACAGATCTATAGTTAAGACTATAGACAGATCTATAGTTAAGACTATAGACTGATCTATAGTCAAGGCTATAGACTGATCTATAGTGCAGACTATAGAATGATCTATAGTCAAGACTATAAAATGATCTTTAGTCACAACTATAGAATGAATTATAGTCAAGACTATAGAATGATCTATAGTCAAGACTATAGACTGATCTATAGTCAAGATTATAGACTGATCTACAGACAAGACTATAGACTGATCTATTGTCAAGACTATAAACTGATCTATAGTCAATATTATAGACTGATCTATAGTCAATACTTAGACTGGTCTATAGTCAAGACTATATCTACAGCGAAGAGTATAGACTGTTCTATAGTCAACACTGTAGACTGATCTTTAATCAAGACTAGTGATAAAAAATACTAAAGAAAACCTTCCCTCCTTTCCCTTTACTTTCAGATCGAAACAATCGAATCGAATGTAATCTCTGAATCAAGTGCTAGTGCCATTGTTAAAGTACGTTCCGTGCATGTCATCGATCATATGTTGAGTGAGGCACGCACCTACACCTGTGTAGGACGTACCGGTTCTAAAACCGTTTATGCCTCGACCATAGTTTATCCTCAATCGGATCTTAAAGATTTGGTGCAAGTACGTGAAAAACCTTTTATGGGTCATGTTAAACCACGTATCGTATATAGTGAAAGAATGCATTTAGATTTGGTGGGATCAAATGTGGTATTGCCCTGCAAGGTGCATGCCCGTCCCCGTGCTGAGGTATTCTGGATGAACGATGAGGGTAATTTGATAGAACAAAATCAACGTTTTAAACTGTTGCCCTCGGGAGATTTATTGATATCCGATTTGAAATGGGAAGATATGGGTGCCTATAAGTGTATAGCCCGTAATGCTTTGGGCAAAGATACAGCCGATGCATTTATTTATCCAGTACAGGTGAGATAAGAAATTTAGATTTTTTTTGAAAACAAACAAAAACTTATGGTTTTTCTTTTTCTTTTAATCATTTTAGAAAGAAGACAAATAAACATTAGAAAGAATGGACCCCAAACCCCTATTAAACATTTAGAAATTGGACCTTTAAACGAAAAACTAAACATAATTTGCCTGGAATTAAGATGGAAAAAAAAACAAAACCTTTAAACAAAATATATATATATACTATATAGAAAAAAATAACAAAAAATAGTTCCTGTTTATTAACTAAAGAATCTTTTTTGCAAAAATATACCCTAAGCAGTACTACCCTATTAGAAATCTAAACAAACAAAATCTAGAACTAAATAATTGTAATTATAATTTAAACAAATTATTACTTCTAGACAGATGCCGGCAATCTCCTAGAGTGCCATTTAGACCACAACTATCGAATAATACTTAGACCTAACTACACATAAGTAAAAACTAAAATTCATTATTACCAAACACCCCACCCCTGCTCCTCACCAATAACACACAACAACTTTAATTGTCTTCTCAATAATTTAAAACAAAACACACATAACCAAACATCTTATACAAAACACTATTCATTCATTTTAAAACTTAATTTATTAAAAGAAACCAACAACAAAAATTATCTTTTAGCAAAAGCTTATATCACTTGCTTTCTTAGATAATTTGATTTTTTTTTAAATTTATGACATTTTTCGGCCGTACTTAAAACGAAAAAGAAATTTCACCATTTTTTTTCTCTTCTCTTTTATAATTTAATTTATTTATGTACTTAATTAAGTCTTTAAACATAATTTAAGTATTTAATTATAAAAAATAATCAGGTTTTTGTTTGTTTTTTTTTTAGAACGATACTAATTTAAAATAATAAATATTGTTGCATTTTATTTGTGAATTTACACCACCTCATTATTTTTTATAATTTTTATTTTTAATATAATTTCAACACCCAACTACTACTTATTGACTTTATGAGTAACAATCAAAAGTTAAATAGTTATTTATTGTGTGTTTTTTTATTAAGTATTTTAGTTATTTTTTTAATAAACAAATTTTCTTCATTATTATTATCATTTATGGTTTCTTTATGAAAAAATTTCAAAACTTTAACTTAAAGATACTGTGTTTAACAGTATTTCTTTTTAAGTCTATTTTTATGTGGCTTTTTTTATTTTATTTTATATTTTACACTGAACTGATTATGTCTGATTATATATTTTTTTAATTGTTTTTATTATGATTTTATTATAATTTTGAATTTGTATTTTTAAATAATATTTATAATAATTAGCTACAAAATAAATAAATTTTAGTCAGTAAATAAATTCATGTTGGATAAATTCAAACAAAAATATATAAAAAAAATACAAAAAAAAACATAAAAAAAATATATATATTAAATAAAAATTTACAATTGGATAAACAATTATTTATAAAAAAAATAAGTACAATTCAAATGAGTTTTATTTCCAAACATTTTAGTTTAACCCCTAAGGCAACAGGAGTAAAAAAAGCTTAAACTATAAAAGCCCCAAAATTTTATAAAAATAACTGTTTTAGTTGTTAATTTATAAACCTGTAAAACTATTATAATGTTTAGTTAACAACATCATGTCATTCTTTAATGAACCATAATTCCTAAACCACTGCTGATATTGCCATGATATTAGTGTCAAACGATAGGCTGGAAACTGTACTTTTGAAATACAACAACAAAATTTATTTATTATCTTGCCTAATAAGGAAAATTTCATGATGTAAATTTTACGCCCCTTTATCTCTACATAACGAGGGCGTGGCATAAAATTTTTTTCAAATTACGAAACAGGAAATTTTACACTACTTGTATAGCAAATTTCAAAACCATAGCTCTACAAATGACCGAGTTATAGCAATTTTTATGAAAAACAAAAAATTCTAAGAATTTTTTTTTGCAAATTTTTCATTGCTTAAAAATTTCATTAAACACCAGGAGAACAAAATCGTGCAGCAGGTGGATTTTTCAATACAAATTTCTTTAAACTCTTATAACTTCTAAACGGCTTAAGAGATTTTTATAAAACTGATACCAAATGAAAGGGTAGGAATTGTACTTTTTAATGGATTTGGAAATTTTGCCCACTGCCACGCCCACTTAGTGCAATTCGATAAAATATATTAAAATACTAATAACTTTGTTAATATTGTAAGTAGAACAAAAATTATTGATTGTAATGAAAGTACAATATCATCTTTACTTGTGAAACAAATTTTGTTGTCCTAACTTCAAAAATGTCCAAGATATAACGGTTTAAGTTTAAGGGTGGAAATACCATGATGTTCAGTAATTTGGACTTGACAACGTTTTCTTTAAACTAGTATAACTTCTAAACGAGGAAAGATATTTGTGTAAGCCTAGTGGCAAATGAAAGTGTAGGAATTGTACTTTTTCATAGATATGGAAATTTTGACCACTCTCGCGGTCACTTAGTGCAATAACATAAAATATCATAAAACACTAATAACACTAATAACTTTGTTCATAGTGTATATAGATCAAAAATTCTTTTAAGTGCTGAAAATACAATATCTTCTTTACTTGTGCATCAAATTTCAATATAATATCTTAAAAAATGACCAAGATATAAAGGTTTAAGTTTAAGGGTGGAGATACCAAAATGTTCAGTATTTCGTGCTTGGCAATGTTTTCTTTAAACGCGTATAACTTCTAAACGAGAAAAGATATTTGTGTAAACCTAATGGCAAATGAAAGTGTAGGAATTGTACTTTTTCATAGATATGGAAATTTTCACCACTCCCACGGTCACTTAGTGTAATAACATAAAATATCATAAAACACTAATAACACTAATAAAGTTGTTCAAGGTGTATATAGAACAAAAATTCTTTAAAGTGCTGAAAATACAATATCTTCTTTACTTGTGAGGCAAATTTCAATATAATATCTTTAAACATGACCAAGATATAAAGGTTTAAGTTGAAGGGTGGAAATACCAAAATGTTCAGTAATTCGGACTTGACAATGTTTTCTTTAAACTTCTATAACTTGTAAACGAAAAAAGATATTTTCATGAAATTAATGTCATATGAAAGAATAAGAATTAAGCTTATGAATAAAAGTGAAAAGTTAGTCCTCAGCCACGCCCAACAACACGAATTTCCTTAAATATACTTTACGCCCCTTTAGTTCTTTCCTGGGTGGGCGTGGCAAAAATATTTTTACATAATTTGATAGGCCAAATTTGTCTCTACTTGTATGTTAAATTTCAAAACCATAGCTTTACAAATGACTGAGTTATAGCAATTTTTATGAAAAACAAAAAATTTTAAGAATTTTTTTTTGCAAAATTTTTATTGCTAAAAAATTTAATGAAACACCAGGAGAACAAAATCGTGTAGCAGGTGGATTTTTCAACACAATTTTCTTTAAACTCTTATAACTTCTAAACGGCTTAAGACATTTTTATAAAACTGGTTGCAAATGAAAGGTTAGGAATTGTACTTTTTAACAGTTTTGGAGATTTTGCCCACTGCCACGCCCACTTAGTGCAATTCGATAAAATAAATTAAAACACTAATAACTTTGTTCATAGTATATGTAGAACAAAAACTCTGGAGTGTAATGAAAGTACAATATCATCTTTACTTGTGAGGCAAATTTCATTATAATACCTTCAAAAATGACCAATATATAACGGTTTAAGTATAAGGGTGGAAATACCATGATGTTTAGTAATTCAGACTTGACAACGTTTTCTTTAAACTCCTATAACTTCTAAACGAGGAAAGATATTTGTGTAAGCATAGTGGCAAATGAAAGTGTAGGAATTGTACTTTTTCATAGATATGGAAATTTTGACCACTCTCACGGTCACTTAGTGCAATAACATAAAATATCATAAAACACTTATAACACTAATAACTTTGTTCAAGGTGTATATAGAACAAAAATTCTTTAAAGTGCTGAAAATACAATATCTTCTTTACTTGTGAGGCAAATTTCAATATAATATCTTTAAAAATGACCAAGATATAAAGGTTTAAGTTTAAGGGTGGAAATACCAAAATGTTCAGTATTTCGTGCTTGGCAATGTTTTCTCTAAACACGTATAACTTCTAAACGAAGAAAGATATTTTCATGAAATTAATGGCATATGAAAGAATAAAAATTAAACTTTTGAATAAAAGTGAAAAGATAGTCCTCAGCCACGTCCAACAACAAGAATTTCATTAAATATACTTTACGCCCCTTTAGTTCTTTTCTGGGAGGGCGTGGCAAAAACATTTTTACATAATATGATAGGCCAAATTCTTCTCTACTTGTATGTCAAATTTCAAAACCATAGCTCTACAAATGACCAAGTTATACCGATTTTTATGAAAAACAAAAAATTCCAAGAATTTTTTTTAGCAAATTTTTAATTGCTAAAAAATTTCATGAAACACCAGGAGAACAAAATCGTGCAGCAGGTGGATTTTTCAACAGAATTTTCTTTAAACTGTTATAACTTCTAAACGGCTTAAGATATTTGTATAAAGCTGGTGGCAAATGAAAGGGTAGGAATTGTACTTTTTAATGGATTTAGATATTTTGCCCACTGCCACGCCCACTTTGTGCAATTCGATAAAATATCATAAAACTCTAATAACTTTGTTTATGGTGTGTGTAGAACAAAAATTCTTGATTGTAATGAAAGTACAATATCATCAATACCTGTGAGACCAATTTTGTTGTTCTATCTTCAAAAATTACCAAACTATAGCGGTTTAAGTTTAAGGGTGGAAATACCATGATGTTCAGTAATTCGGACTTGACAATGTGTTCTTCAAACTCGTATAACTTCTAAATGAGGAAAGATATTTGTGTAAACCTAATGGCAAATGAAAGTGTAGGAATTGTACTTTTTCATAGATTTGTTAATTTTTCCCTACTGCCACGCCCACTCAGTGCAATAATGTAAAATATAATAAAACACTAATTACTTTGTTCATAGTATATGTAGAACAAAAATTATTGATTGTAATAAATGTACAATATCATCTTTACTTTTCAGACAAATTTTGTTCTCCTATTTTCAAAAATGACCGAAATATAACGGTTTAGGTTTAAGGGTGGAAATACCAAGATGATCAGTATTTCGGACTTGACAACGTTTTCTTTAAACTCATATAGCTTCTAAACGAGAAAAGATTTTTGTGTGGACCTAGTGGAAAATGAAAGTGTAGCAATTGTACTTTTCAATGTATTTGGAATTTTTGCCCACTGCCACGCCCACTCAGTGCAATAAGACAAAATAT